TGACGGTCCCATGGGAGTCTTTGGGCACAGGGGGGTTGGGAAAAGGGAGGTGGCCCCCTGAGCTCCCAACTTCCTGTGGGGTGCTGGGGGCTGCTGGATCCAATCTCAGCCTTGCATTATGCCAACACTTTCAGTTTAGAGGAATTACAGAGGTGTGACTGAACCACTTTTGTCCCCCAGCTTTTAATGATGGCAAATCAGATCTATTGATAGAAATTAATTGTTATAGGTTACAAATAACCAGACAAAAGATCTTCATCAGAATTATTTACTGCACAGTATAAACACTAAAACTACCAGGAGTACAGGATAAGATAAGACAGTGCTCTACACTAAAGCAATTGTTGAAGCAATTCTACTCAAGCTGGCACAAAAGCAATAATTCTTAATTAGAGAGGGATGGAACTCCCCCAGACCAACACTCGGGGGGAGATCTCTGCTCTCAACCTCCAGCAGTGACCTTGGGGGGTCCCCAGCCAAGGCAGGAATCTCCACACACCCCCCAGGAAGGGTTCTGTTGGAAGAAGCTGCCCCTGGGAAAGGGGACTGGCCCTTTGTGGTCAAAAGGGATGGACTGACAGTCACTGGACTCCAGGGTTGCCTCCAAATCAGGGGGTTCATTCGGGGTGGAAGCAGCGGTCAAAGCTCTTCCTGCAGTTGGGGCACCCTTACCGGTGGGTCCGTTGGTGTCTGGTCAAGTTACTGCTCCGGGTGAAGCTCTTCCCACACTCCCCACACTTGTAGGGCCTCTCCCCGGTGTGGATGCGCCGGTGCCTGATGAGGGTGGAGTTCCGGTTGAAGCCCTTCCCACAGTCACTGCAGCAGAAGGGCCTCTCATCCGTGTGTGTCTGCTCATGGCTGAGGAGATGTGAGCTGGTCGGAAACCTCTTCCCACATTCCAAGCACTTGTAGGGCCGTTCCCCGGTGTGGATGCAATGGTGGCGGATCAGGTGAGAGTTCTGCTTGAAGCTCTTCCCACATTCCAAGCATTTGTAGGGCTGTTCCCCACTGTGGATGTGCTGGTGGGTGATGAGGTTGGACCTGCAGTTGAAGCTCTTCCCACATTTCTGCCACATGTAGGGCTGTTCTCCAGTGTGGATGCGCTGGTGTCGGATCAGGATGAAGTTCTCCCTGAAGCTCTTCCCACATTCCCCACACGTGTAGGGT